ATCATTTATCTCATGGGTGAACATCTTTTAGACAGACATACAAAGTTGCGTTCTAAATAGAGTAACTGTACTTGTTGGTTCACTTTACAGAGTGGTATTAGACAAGGTTGTCTGTTATCTTCCACACTCTTCATTATTTCGATTGATTCGAACTACTTCTGATGCAATATACAATATATATACATTGAAATATACATGGATGTATGCAAGTAAGACAACATTTGAAATGAATGCCATATTTTATTTTTATATTTTATTTATTAACAGAACATTTACTTTGGAGAGTACAGGTGTAAGTTCACTAAAACTACAAAACAATAAACATATTGATTAACAGTGAAAGATAAAAATGAGAACAAGTTACAAGATTCACGGGAAAATGAACATGAATTCATCTACAATATATATCTATAATTATACTTCTATCAGGTATCGCTGTCTGTAGCGCCCTCAGTCATTAATAACTCTCATTGCCAAGCGTACTAACCAGATCAGTATATGCAAGGACACTACTAAACGACTGCATGTTACTCATTCTCCGTCGCAGAGACTATGGGTCTTTTATCGCTAAGCTAGGAAGTCGCCAAGAAACGTTCCACTAGTTGCGGCTCTCTGTGGCTCCCTGTGGCTCCCTAGGTCACGAAGACTCTGCAAGGGAGAGTGCATGTTACTATTATTATCCCTCCCACAGTGCATGTGATTACCCTTATCACTATGTGGGTTATGTAAACATAAATTGATCAGTAACATTTTGGTAAATATCACAAGTACTTAGACATGTGTTTGCTTCATGCATACTAAACAAAATTCACAATGTTTTCTTTTTTATCATTTCTCCAAATTGACGAAGATTTTGATGGTTTTCTATAGTAGTATTTATTTTACAACATACAGTAAACATAACTTTATAACCATACAGCATCTGGTTGTGTCATTTAATTGATGGAACAAAGAAATATACATGTTAGCTGCCAGGTGATGAGGGCAAGTACTTATGTTGGTAGGTACATTCTCAAACAACCACCACAGTTTAAGCGCCTCTATAAATTGTCTTTCACCAGACTTTGAGGTAAATCCGACGTCACTGTCAACCCATATAATCACAAAGTTTCAACAACTTTTTTTATGATTATATAAATTTGTATAATAATGGATTGTGAGTTGAATATGACTATATATTGAAAATACGAAATAAACAAATGTCGATATACATTGTTTTTCTCGTTTAAAACATGTTTGTCCTATATATGACGAATTCATAAGAAATTATACAGACATCATTGTTATAATTGTCAGTGAAGCCTTGACAGTATACTGTCTATGATGAAATCCAAATTGAATGACGTACGTACGTATAACTAATTAATGTTTGTCATCATCGTCGTTATCATCGTCGTTCATTATCGCCAATGACGTCATAGATCACGTGTAGAAGAAGCAGTGTAATGTTTCTTCCCAATGCATCATCGTCATTATCGTCGTCATATTTCGCAGTGACGTCATATTTCGCCTATAGAAAAAGCAATGTAATCAACTGGTTATTCGCCAACTTCGTCATACAAGTTGTTGATCATGGGTTGTGCGAGTGGTGCCATCGATGTACAGACCCATGTTGCTGATGACAGTACCCAAATAGCGTCTTCAGATTCTGGTAGTGCCCATTTTAATACTCATAAATCTCCGACAAATCTCCGAACAGAATCACTGACAGAAGATAAAAACAGACCGATTGATTCCCACCTCCCTCATACCCCTTCAAAGGAATCGAGTTTCATGGTATGTGAAAATATACGAATTGACGCAACGAGAGAAGGAGTACTAGTATTAGCACATCACGCAGAGGAAGAACAAACGTCGAATTCAAACACAGGGACTGTGTGAAAAAAGCCCAAAAAGGTGAGTTTTGTTTCATATATCAACCTTGCATGTGGCAGGTTTAATGTCGTTAATTTTTACGTTCCATGTTTTATTGAATCGGCGTTAAGTTTCAAACTGGGTACTGCATGTATTGAAGCTAAAGATCTGACACACTATTCAAATACATTCCGTGTCGCGCTTCACACGCCCTCACGCATGACTCAACGTACGTCAGTGAATGGCGACTGTTGTACGCCACCGTTGTGTTATTCTGTAACGTATTTTGTGTGTTTTGACAATAAATCAATAAAGGTAAATTGCTGTATGTTGGACAAGAATGGCGTTGACATACATGTAGGCATAAAAATCGAGCTGTTCAACTTACAGATTTGTGTAATGCAGTCACTACAATGGGTAACACATAAGATTCAGCGCCACATTTTCTGTTTTAATATTATTTGGGATAATAAAATAGTGCGAAAGTGGGCATGCAATTGATTGAACAATGCGCTTTTAGGGTAGCAAAAGAAACTGCATGTCCTTTTTTTCTGGTCAACGATTATATACTAGTAGTAGCGCTAGAAGACACCCAGAGTAGAGCCTGGACACCGCGTGGTCCCTTTGAAATGTGACGTCCTTCGAGTAACTCCGCCCCGTGACGTCATACATCTAAGTGGTAAATTTGTATCTCAAATATGCTGAAGCCGCCAATATGTAAACAACGGTGTTCACAATACTGAACGTGCAAATAATATATATATTAAACTATGCTTTATATGGACTAGGTAATAATAGTTGCTTTGATTTTTGACAAATTTGTGTTCGTATTTCAGTTTCTCCATCATAAATGGGAAAACATGGTACAGAATGCAAGTGGAACCTCTATTTCATGCTTAACACTGGTGGCGAGACAAGGTAGAAACAACAGTAATCGCGGCATCATTCCATAACCACCAAGCCTGACTGGAGATAGTATTGTTGGAGCACTGAACTGAGCGTCGATACAGTGCCTGGGAAGAATTCGCTGCCAGAGGAAACCCCGATTCGGTGAATATTCATCGGTGGGTTGACTTGTTGCGAGGGAGACGAAGTTGAAGAATTGTTAATATAACGAATACGCTGTAAAGAAACAAGAGGATTTCACTAGGAAAAAAACGCGACTAATTCGTCTTATCATATGGTAGTAACAGTGGGGAAAGAAGTTAAAAATCAGATAAAAAAAGACATTCTCTAAACGTTACAAAGCATGCTACTATACAACATCTGAAAGCTAAGATATGATGAACGAGAACGGTATTGCATATGCCGTACTATCAATTGTCGTTCAATGATTATCACAAGACGGGGGTCCTCCGACGAATAATTTACCATGTGGCTGAATTGCGCGAGCTTGCAATAATGAAAGTCACGGTAAAAAAGCAAATAATTATGCGATGTTGTGTTTTTATCAAGTAAAATAATATATATTGAAGGTATTATTGAACATGAGCTTTTGAACACATTACATACTTTAATCATTCAGCTTCTTTAGAAAGAATAACTAAAGTAACGGGGATGGGGTACTAGTAATTTCACCGAAAATTACGTTTTGCACATTTATTTATTTATTAATTGTTTGTTTGTTTCAGAGATTAGTCATGTGCATTCTGAAAAAGTTTCGCGGGGAAAGGGTATACGATTCGAAATTCGCATACCCGTAAAAAGGGGCGCCTTTTAAAAGACTTGTCACTACATGGGACAAATCAGTGTTTGGCAGTGTTTTTTTTTGGAAATTCCACCTGAACCAGACACATTAAATGCACATTGATGTTCGAACAGAACGAGAAAACATTTTAGTGTTTCAATCAGTGGAAAGGGATTGATTTTGTGGAATACTCGTATGTCCGACTCTAGCCATGTGTACATGCCTGTTGTTCCAGCCGCTAAGCCACCCTACACACATAGCGACCGTCCGGAACAACATATATGCACACAGGGCTAGCCCGACTCATACCCATACCAGCCACAAGTGTCCTGCCTTCCATTCGGACGGATAACTGCGATCTGTCATCTGGAGTTGTTACAATTTGCATAAATTCATGATTATTAATAACTTCGTACTTACAGATGTTTTCAGGTGAAATTAGTTACTAAAATGAAGGGGCAAGAGGGAGTAGCTGGTACAGGTTGCAGAAAATAAAAAAGGCATATTACGTTTTCACAGGAAATAAAGTCAAAGTTCCATTTACAGTAAAAAATAAGTTTTTACACTTTACAGATGAGGCAATGTCCTAATGAAATTTTACATTTTTATAATATATTTGTTAATTTGTCTAAGAATCAAAATTGGCAATTTCGCACGAATTGTGACATTTAATGTGGAGAGTGCTGTATCCTCGGGGGCGGACATCCGGGCATTTTCACCGCCTGGCAACCGGAGGCGGTGAAAACAAAGGCCCAAAACTCGCAGAAAACGGTATTTTGGGATGATTGTCGAGACTCCTCTGAACAGTGTAACAAGATTAGCCCTACGTGTGTAACATATATAAATTTGGTTGTTCAGGATTACTTTAAAGTTGAGTTTGTGTTGTTTTCTCGAATTTTCACCGGCTCGACCGGCGTTCCACAGCAGCGCGCACAGAGCCCATAGAAATGCATGTACAGTGGTGCGCGTCGTAGCAACGTGGAACGTCTTGTGACGTAGCTCCGCCTCGAGGATACGCTTACAACTATTAAGCTCTTTGTACAAATTACTGGCGAATAAAATAGCTGATTACATTTTACACCTTGCCCATGTCTACGAATTTACATTTTTTATTTATTTAAATTTTATTATTACGAAAATAAAAACATATGATTACAGCTTACGAAAATAACCCTTGCCGACCCTCTACAAGAGAACTGTTTTCTATTCACACACGCATAAAATAATTAATTGCGTTAGTCGCAGAATACAGATGCAGACATATATCTTTTCAAAAGCTTGATGAATGGCGATTCTAAAAATAATTACTTTTTGTAATAATCGGATTAAGTGACAATCAATTTTGTTACAAAAAGTTGTGTTAGATTTCTAGCGAATGCCAGACGGTCTGATATTTATTTTTTTGATGTGCGCCCTCATGAGGCTATGACTTAGAAGGTCATTTCTTCAATCATTCCGTCGTCAGGTCACCCAGTAATTCTGACCAATATTGACATATTTTGCACGGTGCGTACAAGTATTAGGTACAAGTAAATCGTGATAGTACTGGTAAGTCATTAATAGTGAGTTTTTCATTCGCGGGGATTCCAAATGTGAAGTTATTTTCATATTGTGATGATTTTGACGTGTGTACGTCTGCAGTTGAAACCATTGGCGCCCCAAAATTCAACTGTAGTCCCTCGACTGTTCGGATTCTAGGGCCATATTTTGACGCGACGTCATGCTTATTACATAAAATCGCCATTCTTACGATCCTTGTGTCGCGAAACCACGGTTTATATTATAGTCCAAGGCCCAGCTGATCATAAAATACTCTACTCTAACACTTCTGACATGAGGGCGTAATTTACCGACCAAAGCATCGGTCCAGGGAAAAAAAGTATTCACGTTTCTGCAAGTAAGCTTAAAGTCAATAGGACCAATGAAATACATGATTTGTTATCAAGCAAAATTGATAAATCAATTTTATTCACTGATATCCATGATATTTTTATCAATGTATGGTTTCCCCAATACTAGCAAACTCAACAGGATTAAAGAGAAAAGTATCAAGAGTTCCGTAAAGATTAGAACTAAAGGTAGTTTGCTAACATTGAAAGGTTCATCAGATCACAACATAATAATAATAATAATGGTATATTTATTAATATCAAATTTTGTAGCTTTTGAATGAGCAAATTGCCGTTGATTTACACATACAGTTGAATGATTACCGACCAGAAAAAGGTTTGACATTGTACCATAATGACAAATTTACTCCCTTCCTACTGTACAAAAAAAAAAAAAAAAAAAACATACTTCCTTGATTGAAATTTTTACTGCTTGTTAAGTATAAAAAGTGGTATGAATCTGTATCTAGCTTTCCTACACTTAACCTGACAGTGTGGCAGGGTTTGTCCTCAGCGGATACGGTGATCTAACCAGTGCGAGAAGTGGAGTGATTTTGGCAGTGATTTGGCAAATTATTGACACAAATCGCATTCTATGTAATTCAAGACAGCAGTGAAATATATTTGTCACAAATTATATTTTTTTCTGTTGGCGTCTGTTTGTGAATTAGTTATAGTTGACCTGTTTTCTCAATGTTAATATTAGAGGGCCAGACATGTGGTGTGTATTCATTAAGTGGTCTGATGTTACCAACATAGACAGTAATAATGTCATAGATAGTTATATAATATTGACTAAGTGACCATAACGTATATAGACATCAATTAACCTTTGCAAAGAATGTTATGGATATGTGATTCCATTTCAAATTCAAATGGGTGGATCAATCAAGGAACTTCAATAGATCTCGTCCAAAGCATGATTATGCATCTAAAAAAAGCACAAATGGGCTCTAAGAGAGTAACGTACAGCAAAGTTCACTTTTATGAAATGACACCTAAAATTATGTTTTTTCATGTTGTTGTTGGTACACAACTGATCAATGTCTATGACAGTGCCTCGCAAAGGTCATGTGATCAACATATTTTCAGTGAGGCTACAAGGAGTAGGAAAGAGTGTTGTTGATCATAACCAAGAACAGTAAAGATTTTAAACGCATCCCCTGGGGGACACTTGCATAAATTGGAGCCCAGTCTGGCAGATCTTCACAGTATCACACACACGGCTGTGGTCAGTCAGAAAATTAAATCCAAGTGAGGTTCAAATCTTACTAATTAACTTACCTGTGAAATTGATTGCTTTTGAAAAATTCTATAGTTATACAACAGTAGTTGTGTTACCTTTATCACAATATTTATCAGAAAGTAGAGTAGAAGACATACCCAGTCAGCTGCAATACTGCATGTGATCTAATGTTGCATGGTGCAATGTCATGCAGTAACTACCTTGTAACAAACAGGTAGCGACTTTTAGAAATGTATCTACTGTTTACACTGCATTGGTATAATACCTCAATTATGTACACAAAGCATTTACAGTTGCTGTAGGACTTCACACAATGGGGTACTTAATTCATATGCAATTTCACGTATAGTTTTAGATGGAACACCATCAGGAAGACATAATTTACCTGGTTTAGTCCTCTTCAGTTTAACATGTCTGTAGCAAGAAAGGTCGGTTAGGAGTGGGTAGAACTAGACATAGTAATGAGTAGACAAGTGGTTGTCTTTGCATGGTCATTTCACAAAAATACTGGCAAATTGCATTCCCACATTAACTTAAAGAATGTAATGGAGAGATACCAGGTATATTGATTATATGACTGGATTGCGTCTTTGATGACATCAGTTTTATGTATTTATACCAAGATGATGGATTGTCCTTATTTAGGCTCAGGATTCAATCACTGTGAAATTATATGCTTGGCTTTATTAATTGTTTGGATTATTATATTGTTTGGGTTACTGTGAAATAAAACTTGGTGTTTACAAATCATGGGTTTAACTTCTGGTGTCATTCATAGCTTGTCTTGGAAATGAACCCCAACTGACTTTGTTGTGAAGAAATGTCTTAATTCATCTTGTAGGGTGGTTATAAAGGGTGTCATACTTTTTTTAGGTGTGGTGTTCACTTCTTATACTTGAGACCATGAGTGATTTGTTATTCATCTACCAAATGAGCTGGAGTCACGAATAGATTTTACTTTATGCCTGATTGTAGTATTTTGATGATGTTGTAGTGGAGACTAACTGATTGAACTATGGTCACTTTGACTGAAAGGTAATATCACACTGACATAGTGAGGTAGGTTTGTCATAATATTGTCCAATATTGCATTGTTCCTAGCTGGCAAGTTCACCAATTGACATAGGGAGGAAGTTGTAGATCAAATCGTTTTTTGTTTTCTGTGAATTGGTGAATACATAGCAACAACACACTGATGAACTGATATTTATTGTTCTTGTCAAAAATAAAATAAAAATTATAAAACACCCAACCAAAATCCAGTGGCTGGGTATTAATTTGAGGTAATCATGGTTAAAGTCAAAAGTTAAAGTTGCACATCTTCGACAGGACCTGGTTGACACAGGGATAGCTTATTAAGATGGTAGAAAAATTGTCACATGACCATGTCACATGACCCTGTCACATGATTCCAAACATATGGTTTCTGTGACAAAAATGTGCTATATGTTGACCAGCACGCTTGCTCCTACAAATTTCAGGTTATTCTGCAAATTTCAGCTGTTTTTAAAGTTTTATTGCTGTCACTCATGGTTTTAGACATTTTGATAAGGTTTTGCATTTTAGTCATCACATGACACTAATATGTAAACAATATTTTCAAGTTATGTATACATGGAAGTATCCTGGCTTTCAAAAAATATATGCTCAATGAAGCTTTCAAATAAAACAATTATCAAAGTATTCTCCATTTGAAAAATGTATTACATGATACTCCCTATTTTAAGGAAATAAAAATATTATAAAAAAAATGATATACAGCTTTTGTGGTCTCAAATCTGAAAATTGTTCTGTGCTTGAATGCATTATATGCTTAACAGATTTTAAATAAATACATATTGTCACAGGATTGAGGAATTTCTAAAATCAACAGCAATTAAAAAAATTAAAATTGAAATTAGAGGGCATTTTAATTTTCGAAAGCAATATATTTTACATTGTTTTGTATACATTGGATAAGACCCATATTGAACGTGGTATGGTGTGACGATCGCTTTCCTCTAACAAATGTAGGTCTGGTTGACTTATCAAATATTTTTGTTGCAAATCAGAAATTTTGGTCACCATGGCAAAACTTAGTGGCCAGCTGTTTTAATGAACTTTTGACTGCGCACACATGGAATGTTGATGGTAAACATCAGTGCATGCACTCGCCTTGTGTGGTGTTGCTGTCTATCATGTTCAGTGGTGTACCTAACTCAGTTAGTGCGAAAATGAAGTTTTTCATGTGCCTTTTCTTTTTGAGAAATATTTAAAAAAAATTAAAGTAGTAGATGGGAAAAGTACTGATATATCCATCCACCCATTGCTTGAGTGAATGTGTGCCCTCTAGTGGCGAACAATATCAATACTTTTGATGTGTGAACTTTTCACACAGTTACTGGATTAAATAAAGTTGCTATAAATAGTTACAGAAATCCATCCCAGCTTGGCTTAAGATGACCATAAAATATACAATTACAGGGAATTTGAGCTTGGCGTGAAATTAATATACATAAACTCACATATACATTTACGTATACCTGTGTAGTCATAGCAACTACATCCACACTATGTAACTGCGTTGTATGCATGTTAATTAAATGCCTTGTATCTTGATATTAAATTGCATAATGATTTTGGCTCTTGTTGAGAATCAGGGAATTGTGACTGTAATAATATCTGGGGGCAGCATAGTCTGTTCTCTTAACACATGCCTGTTGATGATGCCAATTTTTCCAATTAATTTCGACAATCCTTGGGGGCTTTCAGGCGGCTAAGTGTTAAGGCATGATGGAATCCCTGTGAGTGCATCTTAGTTTGAAAGAGTTAGGGTGTTCTTGCTACATTCAATCCTTGGGCATGTGATGTACACAGGGTTTTCATTAGATTTTAGTGCAGCCTGGTCAAGTAGAGGGAGAAACTGTCATTCATTTGAATTACTATTAATTCAAAATGAATGAAGTAGCCCGGCATTTTGGTTGGTCATGGACGTCTAATGAAAAGCTTGTGTGTGGTAGAGTAAGTGCAGGAGATCATTTTATTAAATACTGTGTATCTTTGCCTTGACTCCTGGACCAGTGTCTGTAAAATATAGGAGAAGAAAATCAATCTTTGCAGTAAGAACTGTCAAATACCAGTAAATGATTCTGTTAAATGAATTATTCTTCACATTGTCACTGGGATCATTTCTATTGAGCTAGGGAGTCTGATAGCTTGTGTACTTGCATTATTCAATTGAGCTAGAGTCTGATAGCTTAATGTACTTGCATTATTTCAATTGACCTAGGGAGTATATTAGCTTATGTACTTGCATATTTCAATTGACCTAGGGAGTCTGGAAACTTATGTACTGCATTATATCAATTGACCTAGGGAGTCTGATACATTATGTACTTGCATTATTTCAATTGACCTAAGGGAGTCTGGAACTT